ACTCAACTGGGCAGGCTTCGCAGAGCTGGTCTGGAAAACCTGTGGGACACAGGGGAGTTGCTTCTTTGTGCAACAAATTTTCCTCTTGGATTAGCTGAGCTGTCCTGTAGTTAATGTTACTATCCAGGGTCTGCAGTTCATTAGAGAGGATGCCCTGGTTTGGGAGAGGTAGTTTTCTGAGAAAGAATGTGCTGCTGGCCTATGATCCTGGTTTCTCAAGTGCTTTCCCACTGCTTGCAGTAATTGCTTTGCTTCAGTATTGCCTCTGGCTGTCCTGTTGTGATGTCAGCTTCAGCTTCCACTGCCTCAGACATGACAGCTCCAAATGGATTTATTCTCCAGAAAAGTAGAAATACTGTGATGTATTGAGTGTGTCATGTATTTATGTACATGTGCACAGTCTTGAGCTGATTGCTGGGGTTCCCAAGTGCTTGCACACCCACTGGGAGAGCTGCCATGGTGGGCGGGTTGCTGGTGACTCCACAGATACCTTTGCAGACCTCTCCCCTAATTTCTAGCATTGGAACAGCCTGCCCAGGGGTGTCACCATCCCTGGAGGTGTCCAGGGAATGATTGCACGTGGCACACAGCAAGGTTGACAAGGTGGTGATTGGTCTCACGTTGGCTGGATGGTCTCAGAGGTCTTTTCCAACCTAAATGATCCTGTGATTCTTACTCTGTTCTTCCAGCCTGTACCGAGCAGCAGTTTAGGTGCCAGAACGGCTGGTGCAAGCCCAAGTTCTGGGTCTGTGACAACGTGAACGATTGTGGTGACAACAGCGATGAGCTCCAGTGCAGTAAGTGACTCACCCCGCAGGCACAAAGGGCTGAGGGCTTGAGCAGGCACACAGGGGGCAGTTGGGGTGATGGAGGCTCATAGGATGGAGGGAAGCGAGTGCTATGCTGGAAACGAGTAGGCAAAAAAACCCTGGCATGGTGAGGGCTCACCTGGTACAGGTGAATGAGAGCTCAAAGAAAAGAAGGATAAGCAGAGGTGTAGGAACAGAAAGGGCTGAATAACTTGAGTGGTGGCGTGCAGTCTGGAGAAGAGATTGGAGACACTAGTATGTTGGAGCTGCAGGGGCTTTACTTGTCTCAAGGAGGGGAGCTGGGCACAGCCGTATGCTGAAGTGCTGCAGGATTCATGCCTAGCCCTCAGAGCTGCTCTCTGTCCCTAGGCTGTGCAGCTGACAGCTTCAAGTGCGACAATGGGAAGTGTGTCCCCAGCACACAGAAATGTGATGGCAAGGACGACTGTGGGGATGGGAGCGATGAGGGCAGCTGCAGCAAAGGTGAGGATGGGCTGCGAGGTGGCTGCCATCAAATGCAATCTCTGACCGAATTCCTTGGGGCTGGGCACCCTCCTGTGTGTGTTTGCATGGAGTGGAAATGCCCTGGGGGTGGGCAGAAGAGGTGAAGGTGATGTGACCTCCCCAGAACCGGGGCTAACCCCTGTGGCTCCATCCTGCCTGCAGCAGGCCAGACCACAGTCCCCTGTAAGGAGTACACGTACAAGTGCCGCAGTGGACACTGCATCAGCAAACAGAACCCTGAGTGCGACGGGGAGCAGGACTGTGAGGATCACTCTGACGAGGACAACTGCAGTGAGTGCCTGAGGAATGGGGAAGATATGGGATTCTGGGCCGGGCCTCTCAGAGTC